TACAGCAGCTCGGAGATGCATGAGCTCTTCCCAGACTTCGCTGTCCTGGCAGCTATTGCCCTGGCCTTGCCGCTGGGCTCGGTCCTGGCCGAGAAGATGAGCCGGGGCCGGGAGCTGCTGAAGCGCGGCCGGTCGCGCCATGCGAAGGCCGAGGGGCTCTCTGACCTCATGAAGATCGCCATCGACGGGCCAGCCATCAGCGAGTTCAACTTTGCACTGGCCATCGAGTACTATGAGAGCATGAGGGAGTCTGGGTTCATCATGGCACAGGTGAAGTGAGCGTGGCTGGTGAGGGCCGAGCCCTTGGGCAGGAGCCGGGGCCTGCGGGCAGCCCCCAGTGCCAGCTCAGCATCACTTTCTGCATCACTGGTCACTGCTGGGGCCGGGCAGCCACAGGGGATGGTGACCTGCTCTGTGCTGGGAAGAGAAAACAGGATCCTTTGCAAAGCCATGCTGCTCCCACGACCACCCCTCCCTCATGCCCCAAACCTCTGTTTGAATCTCCCAGAATTCAGAATCCTGGGGCCACCTGAGATTCCAAACTGAGATGAGTTTTTTCCAAGGGTTTGTCATTATTTTGTTATAGTGAGATGAAGGCAAAGCTCTTGAGCTCAAATGTCACGTTGCCTTTGCACAAAGATACCCAGCAGCTTTTGCTTAATGCTCTGCAAAAAGATGGGATTTCTGTTATTCTGGAGCCTGGAGAGTGAATGCAGAAAAGGCAGTGCATCCTTGAGCTCTGCGCCGACCCCAACATGCCTGGCGGTGTCGTGTTGGTGTTCCTTGCACACAGCACGGGGTATTTTTAGCAGTGACATCAAGTCATGATCATTTCAAGAGGAAGAGATTTAGGGAATGATATTGTAATGGCTGAGGAAATAGTAACTTTAAATGCATCACTGTGTACATATGTGTATGTGTGTATATATATAAATATACATATATAAATATCTATATTAAAAAGGTCTATCTTAATTTTCCTAAAGTTTAAAGATATCTAGAAGGACGTGGGGTTTTTTTGCAAGGACAGAATAAATTATGAACAGGGGTCCAAAAACAATCAATAGCTAATTCTTGTTCTTTCCAAAACGTCCTCACGTCCTGGAGTTCCCTTTGCACCCTGAGCTCTTGGAAACCTGCAGTCCAGGAGAAAGTCCTTCAACACCTGGTTTTGGGACCAAGTGGAGGTGTTCAGCTCATATTTCTGCTCTGAAGTGTTGCTCTTTATCCCGAGGTGAGCAGAGCTGTTGGTGCCCACAGCACCCAGGAGCTTGGGCCCCTCTGCCCATGGGTCTGGCAGTGCCAGTGGGGCTGGGGTGCTGCTGGTGTGTTCCAGTGTGACAGGGCTTTGCTGGTTCTGACTTGGAGGGCTATTTCCTTCAGTCCAGACTGATTCTAATCAGCAATAAACCCAGTGCAGCATCATGAAGCATTACCTCGAATCCTCAGTGCTGGGTCCTCTGCTGGGGCTGCCAAAAACTGGAAATGGGAGGATGTAGCAGATCTGCTGCCTCACAGTCCAGGTCTGGTTGCTCTGGGAGTCCAATGCAGTCCAGTCTGTTTGTTACTAGTCCAGATCCCAGAGGTGCTGGGGCTGCACTAACGCTGCCATCATGGTCCAGCATTGTAACTGGGTGTTGCTCCTCTTCTCTGGCCATCAGCCTTTGGCACTGGGGAGCCTCCTGGAATCGTGCTTGGCCAGAGACAAAAGCTTTAAAGCCCTGGGTAAGGATTTAGAGACACCATCAAAACTTGCTGAGAACATCTCCAAGGCAGGAGGGAGCCTCTGTGTGAATAAACAGCTCTGTCTCCATCTGGCCTAGGCAGACTTCGTGCCAGATGCTCTCTGAGGTAGCGGCGTCTGCGAAGATGAGTCCTTGGCAGACTCGTGTTGGTATGAGAACCTGCAGTGTTGGCCCTGCCACCTTCAGAGGCAGCTCTGGGAGGTTCACACAGGCGGGTGTCAGAGCACAACAGTTGCTCTGCTCTGCCTCACAGGGACCAGGAGAAAAACCTGCTGCAGGTGTGTGTTCAGTGGCTGTATAGAGTGAAGGGGTAGGGTACAGGCTGGGGAGGACAGCCAGACACAGTTCAGATGAGTTTGGTTAAATGCAGGGCTGAAATTTCCTTTAAATTCCAAGGAGTCTCTACAAAAGTCACTTGTCTGTGGGACAGGAACTGGGCTGAGCTCCAGAAGGCTGGGAAGAGGCTGACCCCCAGGTAGAGAATGTGCAGGCTCTGATGGCTCTGGCTGAGCCCCAAGCAAGGGACAGCACCACATCAGGGACATCATGGCTTTGGCATCTCCTGGTCAGGCCTGGACTGTACCTGTGGAACTGAGGAGGGAACAGAGACAACTCCCCCAAAATACAGCAGGTGCTCATGCCAGGAACACGTGGTTCCTGTGCTCCTCTCCTTGCACCAGCCCCTTGGAATGCTCTGCAGAGCCTGGAGCACGTCCTGTCCCAGGAGGACCTGCAGTGCCAGAGCAACAGCATTTAACCCAGGAGGTTAAATAACCACCCAGGAGGTGGGGGCTCCTCTGCCAAAACGGGGGGAGACGGAGCAGGGGCTGTGACAAAAAACTGCACCTCTGGGGGTCTGTTCTCCAGCACAGCCCCACCTGCTGCTGGCTATGCCCGTCACCTTGCGTAAGGTCGTGTCATTCTATACAGATCTGGGACCCTGCCACTCTCCCAAAAGCAAATCCCCTTAATTAAGTGTCTAATTAATACCTAAAAATACTGCCCTCAGCTGCTGCTGGAATCTGCCCTGCAGCAAAGGTAAGGCAGAACCCACAATGCCATGGCCCCCTAACCTTGGAAAGGTGCCCCAAGAGCATCCTGTGGGTGCCCCAGCAGGGTGTTGTGACATGTTGGGGAGCTTCACTGAGGTGGCCTCAGCCCTCTTCCTGCTCCTCGGGGTCTTGTCTGCTTCAGGGACAAAGGCAAGTGAGCACAGACCTGCCCATCTGTAGGGTCTCACAGGGGTTTCTGAGCTCTCTAACTGCCTGGTTTATCCCAGTCCATAAATGTGTTTAATCCACAAATTTGAGCTCAAGTATATGCCAAAGAGGTTGACATATCTTCTCATGGGTGGGCAGCAGCTGCTGCAGGTGGTGGCCGATCCTGGGAGTCTGTGTCCCCTCAGCACTCATCGTGTGCCTGCCCAGTGCAGGAGCTGCTCCCCAGGGACTGAACCCTTCAGCCCAAAGCACTAGCTGAGCTGCAGCCTGCCTTCTTGTAGTCGCTGATTTTGGGGATGAGGTGATTGCTCACCTCTTGTTCCTCCCATATATATATATATGCATATATAATTTTTTTATATATGTGTATATTTTATGTTTTTAAGGCCAGTGCAGTCCGTGCATGACTGTGATGAGTGTCTCCCCTCGTGATCCAGCCCCAAATGCCTTTGCTGTTCTCGCGTGGGGCCCCGGCTGTGTGTGCTGGGGGGTCCCAGGGCAGCTCCTCTGGCGCCAGCCCGACCGTCTCAGATGATTTGATGTAGAAGAGCTGTTTCACGCCTCAGAAGGTTAATTATGCACCCCTCACCCAGTCCTGCTCGCTGCTGCTGTAATATTATTTATTTATTTTTAAGCGGTTTCACAGATTTCCCTTCTGGGCGACTCTGGAATTAACTCGATCAGTGCACGCCTGATGAAGCAAACTGTAATTCCTCCCTGGAGTCAGGCCCGGCTTGGGGATGGCTCCGGTGCCGTGGCAGAGCCGCTGCGTGCGCTCTCCCAGAAAGAGGTCGTTGGTGCCCGTGGGGCTGGCGACGAGCACTCGCTGCTCAGATCCAGGGAATCTCTCAAACTTTGAATTTCAGATGCATGTCTCAGATCCTGCACCAGCGGGATTGGCATGGGGCGGGTGTGGAGCAGAGTGAGGAGCAGCCCCAGCCTGCGATCCCCATTCTGCATAGCTGGCATCAGGGTGTGAGGGCTGCAGGGGGGCTCGGGCTCGGTGCTGTCACAAGAGGTGCTGGTGGAATGTTCTTGCTGTGGGAGGGGGTACTGGCCACTTTCAGCCTCCCACGAGGGTATTTTCAGGTAAGGGGGGTTGTTGGGATGGGGTTGTGCTGTGCTGGGTTAACGGATCCATGATGCCTTTGAAGTGAAAAATAACCCAAACCTCAAAAAAAATCCAAAGGAATGAGGAACATTGACCTTGTCCTTGCTGCAGGAAAAGGGACGGGGCTGTGGGTGGATTGGAGGAGGTGTGAAGCCATGTGGGATATGAATGGGCTCTTCTGGCTCACAGCACTCTGAAACCTTTTCTTATTTATTGTGTTTGATTAGTTAATTTATTTTTTATTTTAGCTTATCTCCCTCACTCCTAGAGCTGGACAGGGACTCCCTCTGCCACTTGGGGGATGCTTTCCTGTACTCATCTGTGATGAGTCCGAGCTGGGATGGGGAGCAGGCTGGAGACAGACCCCTCCCTCCTTCCCTCTGTCCCACAGGTGTTTTCTGTTGGAACAGAACATTATTAATAACCCCAGGCTATTTTTAAATCTCACGCTGGAGCGCGTGGTTGGTTTGCGGGGGACGGGGAGTGGCAGCTGTGCCGCAGGAGTGGGCGCAGCTCAGCCCCTGCCCCAGCCCTTTGGCTGCTGCTGGCAGCCAAAACCTCACCAGCCCTGGTGAGGAGCCCCGCTGGTGCTGGTGTAGGGGAGCCCAGGGCTGTGTGGCTCCATGGCAGAGCCCAGGGAAGGGGCTGCTTCCCTGGGGGAGGTTTGGACGTCTTTTGAGGGTTCAGACTCCTGTGTGTGTCCACGCTCTGGTGCGGAGGCGGCTGCATCCTGCTTCAAACCGGGGTGCTGGTTTTGAGCCTGGAAGGCAAAGGGTTGCCCAAGGCCACCCTGGGCTGGGACCTTTCCCTGGGGGGCTCTGTAGTCCGTGGCAGGTGTCCCCGTGTGCCGTGTCTCGTGTACTCTGTGCTGCTGTGAGCAGGGATCACCGGTGCTAACGCTGCTCTCTCCCTCTGCCTGCCCAGGTCCCTCCGGACACAGCAGCCCCCTCTTAGCATCATTGCCCATTCCTGGCCGGCCTCTTCATCCCCCCTTGGACATCAAACACTTTCTGACCTTCAGGCTCAACGGGACATCACCGCTCAACCTCTTCCCCAACTTCAACACGGTGAGTCCTCAGGGAGGATGGGCATTGGCTGCTGGACCCCTCCTCCCTTACAGCAGTCCCTCCTCTACATGGCACCACTCCTTGAACCTTACCAGGTAGTTTCTGGTTTAATTCCTGGGGTTTTTGGTTGCTGGACACCAGTTCAACATGCCCACTTTGCCCTTAGCTCAGAGAGGCTCCTGCCCAGCCAGCGCCTGTCAGTATCAGAATTAAAAACATGGTTCATTTTAACCAAGATCAATTGGATTTTGCCCCTGGAATCAATAGTAATAAAGTAGCTCTGGAGAGCAGTTCATTAGTTGAAAATTAAATAAGGAAAAGAAAAGAAAGAATGTACTACAGATAGGAGGAATGTGGCTGCTACTGTGGATGTTGGGAGAGTCAGGGTGCTGGGGGGCTGCTCCCACCCCTCACTTGGGCTCCAGGTCTCCAACTTTGGACTACCAACCCAGGTGCCTGGAGTGGGCAGTGACACATATCTTTAGAGATGTTCCATTAGACAGTGAAACTGCCATGGATGTGGCCAAGGACACACCGCCGTGCCAGGTGTGAAATGGTGTTTTCCCCATGCTGCACCGCTCCCCCAGGCTGGTCCCAGCCCCGTGGGGGTCTCTGTAACCCCTGGGTGATGCCTAGAATTGTTGTGGAGCAGGTTCTGCTCTGGGAAGGGCAGTGGGCCTGGGGGCTGCTCCCCATCTCTGCCCCAGAGGCACTGCATGCTGGTGTTTCGGGGTTCAGTCAGTGCCCATTGTTTTCTCTCATGAACCTGGAAATGGGACTTTCGTGAGCCCCCTCCCTGCTCGCTGGCCTTTTGTGAGTGGCTTTGAGCTTAAACATGCTCGGAAGGTGCAAATTATCGCTCAGATCCTCAAAGACAGTTCAGAAATTAAGCGCAGGATTCCAGTTGCTGTTGAATGGGATTCAGGCGTCTGAGTCCTTTAAGCTCTTTTGAAGCCTCAGCCCAGCCTCTCCCTGGGCTAATGAGCTGGAACACAGGACAGGAGGGTTTTTGATGCCATTATAGTTCCTGCTCTTTGTCTGGGCTCTTTTTTTAGTTGCTGGAGTCAGGAGTACACTTGACCCAACGCCTGTTGTTTGCTCCTCTTGGCTCCCACCTGCCGCTGCCTCAGCATGTGTTCACCCACGTTTGTTGCTTTTGAAAAATTAGTAATTTGGAAAATGAATCTGGTACTTGCTGGAGCCACAGAGTGTTGCATGGCTGCTGTGCTCTGTGTGGGCTCCTGCCACAGAGGATGGGTCAGACATGGACAGAGATGCCAGGGGAGGCTGGCCCAGCCGTCTGGGGACCTGGAGCCAACCACTCTGGGCTCAGACCTGAGCCCAGTGTGTGCTGTTGGCTGATGTCCGGAGGCAGGAGCTGCCCCTTTGGGGTGTGTCTGTGCTGGAGATGTGGCTGAAGGAGGCTGGGTGAGGTTCAGGTGCCAGGCTAGTGGCTCTGGAGGAGCCAGAGTAGAGCTTCCATCCCACAGGATGAAGGGCTGGAACATCCCTGCGTCCTGAGCCAGGCTGGTCAGACTCCCCTTGAGCCTCAGTGTGGGGAGAGGGTAGGGGTGAGCAGTCAGGGTCTGCCTCTTGCTGAGGTTGCTGCCACATTGGAGCTGCTCCACAGCAGGATCTGGGGGCTCCCCTTTCATGCCCTGCCTGGCTGGTCACGCTGTGAGGGCTCAGCAGTGCCCTGTGGAGCAGGAGCTGTTTGCACTGCCCGGCAGAACACTCTGCACTCAGAGCAGGTCACAGGACTCCCATGAACCCAGCAGATGTTTTACTCTGGAGCGAACAAAACCCTTCCAAGCTGCCTCCTGTCACTTAGAGCAACAACCGGTGATAAAACCCCTAAGAGCACTGCAGGCACGTTCCTTGCTCCAAAGGCCCTTCCCTTAGCTTGGGATGTTGCAAATCCCCAGGACCCAGCAGCGCCTCGTAAAACTCCGTCAGCAGACGCGATCTGAACGGATGCTGCATCCCTGTGAATTCCTGCTCCTGACCTCAGCGGCCGCAGGGAGCTCGGCGCAAGGATCGCTATTTATATCGGCAGGAACATCCAGGGATAAATAAAGTAATGTGAGTCAATACGAATTGACTATAAAGCTGGGATCTTTATTCCCCAAGACCGCGGTGCCCAAAGCCACCTCTGTCACTGGCTCCATTCTTCTGGAAACCGCCAGGAAGAGCCTCAGTCCCTTGCTGCAGGCACCGGTATGTATGGCTGCAGCACAGCCCCCCACCAGCCCCGAAGGAGCTGCGGGACTTTTCCATATCCGAGAGAGCTGTGAGGGCACAGGGCGGGGAGGAGATAGAGGGATGTTTGTGTTTGCTTTCGGGGGGAAGCACAAGAGGCTCTCAGGTGGCACCAGGCTTCAGACGTGCTCAGTGCGGGATGGAGCTGGGTTGAGGTTCTGGTAAAGCACCTGAGAGTGTGTGTGCTTTCGTGGGACTGGGCAGCTGAAGGCTTGAGACAGTGCTGGTGTTCACTTTGGGACAGCAGGAGCAGCAATGGCCACCAGTTGCAGGTGCCTCGGCTGGGATGCCTGGGGCTGGGGTGAGGAGCCAGGTCTGAGTGTGCTGGCCAGCCCAGCCCCTGGGAGCTCGTGAGTCCTGCGCCTGCCCAGAGCGGTTGCAGGTGCTCTGGTGGACAAAACTCATTGCTGTGCTGCAGAGTCGAGCAGGGTGGATTTGGCAAAAGCACAGGAGGTAGAAAGACCCAGGTTGGTGCCATCACCCTGGCGTAACCCTGGGGGATGAGGGGACCCTGTGCTGAGGCTGTTCAGCACCACCACTGTGTAGCTGAGGCTCAGATGTGGCCCTGGTGCCACTGGCTTTACTGACACATTCAGAATGAGGCCAAGACAGTCCCTGGCCTCATTTGTGTCCTTGTGCCAGCATCTTCCTCCCCTCTGCATCCTCCTCTGATCCCAGTCCTGCTCATGCTGCAGTGCTCAGGGTGTGGATGAGCCCATGGGAGCTGGCAGTGCTCCGTGGGTGCCAGTGTTGTTTGGTGGGAGCTGGTGGTGCTTGGTGGGAGCAACCAGCTGAAACCTGGTGGCTGACATTGCTGGGAAGGTTGGAGCCATTTTTCTTTCCTGAATGGAAAGGTGGGTGTTTCTCTGGAAAACAAGTGCTGGCCCAGCAGCCCAGCAGCATGGGGGTGCTGCCAGCAGCACATTGCAATGTTTGTTGTTAGGCATGGAGCAGCATCTTGGCCATCTGTAGCTTCCTTCAGGTTCTGCTGAACCCCAAATGCCTCTTCATTTATATGCCAGATAAGTGAGTAAAATTTCATAGCAAACAGGCACTTCATTAATCACCTGCTTTTACCATTCTGCTCACTCCTGGAAAGGAATTTGTGGTCTTGATAATGGTGCTGTTGTCCAGGCATGTGCCTCGAAGACTGATGCACCTGTCTCGGCAGTGAAATAGCTTCGCAGAGAAATACGATCACTGAAAACCCTGGGCTCTCCTGACAGCAGGACTCAGATAAGATAATCTCCCTGTGCCACAGGCTAGGGAACAATACTTGCATTATAGATTGGAGCCACGCTCAGACAAAGAGGTTATTCTTATGTTTTCTTCCTTAATAAATGCATTTTGTTAAAAACAATTATGGCTTTTGGAAGCAGTTTGGTGCTTGGGCTATGGAATGGGGCCGAGCCCTGAGGCGAGACAGAAGGGCCAGGGCCTGGCACTGGCCACATGCTTGGCCCCACTGCAGCCCTGGGCAGGCTGGTGGACAGACATGGCTACTGGCAGGTCATCAGAGTGGTTCTGTGTGTGCCCAGCCCAGTGACCGAGCTGTCATTGTTGTGTTTGAGCAGGTGAAAAGCACATCTGGGCAGCAGTGGGGCAGCCCAGAGGGGATTTTGTGGGCACTGTATCTTGTTTGAGCTGTGTCTGTGGCAACAAGCACTGGTTCCCTCCTGCCCTGGCACCCGTGTGGGCTGTCAGTGTCCTACGGGCTGGCACACATGGCCCTGCTCGTGCCTTTGGCATTGCTTGGGGACATTCCAACTCTCTGTTGAAGAGCACATGGAGAATGAATGGCAGATGCTTGTTTTGGTCACCTCTGTCCCCCATTTTGGTGATTTCTGCTCCTGCTGAAGTCAAGGGTAGCCAATGTGGTTCAAACAGAAACTGGTAATTTGGCATCTGTGATACAAATGTCTGTGTGGGGGGACAGGGGACTTGGGCACACACTGGGGCAGATGGGGTCTCGTCCCTTCTGCCAGACGACAGCTGACATTCCAACCTTGTGGATTTGATGGATTCAAGAATGGTTTAAGCAGGACAGGAGCCAGTGTTGACACAGCACCTTGCCGTGTGCAGGGGAGCCTCCATGGCCACAGGGCTCCTCAGCAGATGCAGCCCCTTGCTCCTTCCAGCCACCCCATGTGAGCTCTGGGGTGTTGGCAGCGGCTCCTTGGGAGCGTGGCAGGCGTGAGGGTCACCAGGTCACGGTGCCATGCAGGGACAGCCATCAGGACATAGCACCCAGCCACCCTCTGCCCTCCCTCCCCTTCCAGATGGACCCGGTGCAGAAGGCAGTGATCAGCCACACCTTCGGCGTGCCGGCCCCGCTCAAGAAGAAGCAATTCATCTCCTGCAACATCTGCCACCTGCGCTTCAACTCTGCTGTAAGTGGGGCCGCAGATGGGGCTGGGAGTGAGCAGGGGCACGGTGCCAGCCCCTGTCAGGACCATCCCCAACGATGGGCCAGTCTCATCCACCAGAGCTGCTGGTCCTTGGTGTCCTGCAGCGAAGGGGCTGTGGCTACTGGAGCTGCTCTTGCCTCCCTGGGCTGCCTGCAGATGAGCCATCCCAGCCTGGCTATGCTGGATCTGCAGTGCCTGGGGCTGATGCTGCTCTGCCAGCAAAACTACCTGGTTCTGGACTTCATGATTCCCTCCACAGCCAAGCAGCTCAAAAAAAGCATTGCTTCCCTGTTTCAGGCTGCTTCCTGGCTAGAGGTGCTGTGCCAGGAGAGTCAGTCCCACTATATGCTCCCAGTGCCCCTGCAAGCACCCCATGCCCCCATTCCTACTCTGCCCATGTCCCTCCAGGTCCCCTCAGCTGGCCCAGACCCTCACAGCCCGTGGGTGTTCCAGGATGGAGCCTGTGACCTACTTCAGCTGCACCCAGCCCCATTCCAGCCCTGTTATCCGGGGAGAGTTTATTGTCTTTGCTAATGAGGCACCACGCTTGGACGGCCCCTTTGCTTTCCCACATACCAGCCACAACCTCAGCCCCGTTCCCAGCCCTTGGAAAACCGCAGGAGGAGGGAAGGGTAGGGATGGGATAGGATGCTTCCCCCGCCGAGCCCAGGAATCCTCAGCTGGCCCCCAGGAATGCTGTGCAAATTAATCTGTCCTACTCAGGGGTACAGTGTCTAATTCATACCGGGGTTCCTCTCCATAAATTGCCAAACTGGGGTTGTTTTGGGGGACAATGCAGCATTGTCCTTGTTGGGAGGACACCAGTGTTTGGGGGATATTTTTGGCGGCCATTTTTATCAGTTTGGTGCAGACATGAATCCATCAGCGCTTCATTATCCAGCATTCATGGAGAGAGAGGAACTGGGGACGTGAACCATGTGTTGGACATCCATTAGGATACAGTGGGTCATGTGTCCTCCCCACCAAAGAACCTCTTTATTTCATTTTTACAGCAACAATTCATTGTACATTTCTGGAGTCATAAATTCTGCCTGAAAGCTGCTTTTAGAAATGACTTGGTGCATTTAATCAGAGCAAGGTCCTTATCTCGCCAAGCAAGCAATGTGGTGATGACTTAGAAAGTGATACCTTGGCCTCAATATGTTGGTGTCAGAGTAGGAAGGAGAGAGGAGGGAAATGGCTGCTACACTCCACTGCAGACAATCCCTCTGTGCTACACCTCACTCCCAACACACCTCTCTGCTACACCTCACTGCCATAACCCCTCTGTGCTACACCTCATTCCCTACACCCCTTTGCAGTGGTCCTGCTGTGGGGATGGATGCCACCGGGTAAGGTGGCTGCACTAGAAACCTGCCTGAGTGGCCACACCCTGGGTCTGACCCCATCACCTGCCCTCCCCATGTCCATCTGTCTGTCTGGTCACAGCAGTGACTTGGCCACCCCGGTCTGTCCCCCCAGAACCAGGCAGAAGCCCACTACAAGGGCCACAAGCATGCGAGGAGGCTGAAGGCCATCGAGGCCATGAAGAACAAGCAGAAGGTGGTGGAGGCTGCAGCGGGGACCCCTGGCCAGGACAGCGCAGCCGAGCTGGCCCCCAGTCCTGTGGGCAGTGGGGAGCTGGGCAGCACAGGTACGAGGAGGGGGTGTGGGGCTGAGAAGGCTGTGGTCGGTGTGGCAGAGGTGCCACCGTTTTATAAATGAGCTCCGGTCCCGCGGGGGAGCAGGGGGTGTTTTCCCTGTGATTTGGTGTCTCTGGGAGGTGTTTTGTATGGATGCATGGGAGAGAATGCGAGCCCTGTCTCACACATCCCCAGGGCTCTGCCACATGCAGGGATGGGGCTGGTGGGAGGCGTGGCAGCACCAAAGCTCGCTGGGGTTTTGTGCTGAGCCCAGCTTCCATGCACTGCAGATAGCAGCTGGAATAGGAGAGATCTGGGGAAGAACCGCCCTTGGCAGGGATGGATGCATGCAAACATTTTCTGAGATGGTCTTGGGGAAGACTGGGGTGCTCATGCTCCCTGAAATCCAGAAAACCTGTTCAGGCACAGATAACTTTCTCCCCATTTCTTTCTCTTTTCCCCTTTTCCCCTTCTCCTCCCACCAGCTGATGCCAGTAGCCCACAGGAGTCGGAGGGTGAGGGCAGCAGCCTGGGACTGGTGCCCAGCACTGAGGAATCACCTGTGGAGCTGCCAGGCAGTGTTGCCCCGCTGGGCTCCCCACCAGCCTCTGAGCTGTCAGAGGGCACCTCGGATGCCACCAGCGTGGCCTCCTCATCTGCCCAGGCAGCTGAGGCACAGGCAGCCGAGTCGGGCAGCAGCATCAGCTCGGCCCCTGAGAGTGAGAAAGAGGGGAAAAAGAGCAAACCGCACCTGTATTGTCCCACCTGCAAAGTGACTGTCAACTCCCTGTCCCAGCTGGAGGCTCACAACACCGGTAAGGACATTATCAGGGGACAGGGGGACAGGCCCCCTGCCACTTCATCGGGGCTCTCTGAGCAAAGCCCATCCACGCCCTATAACCAAGCAGCCTTGCAACGAAGTAGCAAGCATTAATGAGCATTGCTGTAATTTAAAAATGTTCATTAAAATTACCTGCGCAGGAAAGCCATGGGGCTTTACCTGGGCTGCAGCTTCTAGGGTGAATTCTCACAAGGTCAAACTCTTATTTTCATGTCTTAATTAAGGACATTTCCAGCTACTTTTAATCAAGTGATTGAGGCTATTTTATCTTCCATTTAGCTTGAAGCCGATATTCAGGGCTTCTTCCAAACCCGGAATACTACTTCCCAAAGCAGCTCGGTGGTTTGGGCTTGTGGCCCTTTGGAGAAGACCCCGGGAATGCAATGAGCTGTGGAGCCCCATAGCCTGCAATGACTCCTGGCTGTGCAGGGCAGCTGTGGGCGGGCAGCTGTGGGAGCTGCTGAGGGTCCACCTGAAGCCTGGGGGTGTGCAAACCCACCCCCAGGATGGTAGCAGGGAGTGGCAGCCATGGTACAGAGGTCCCCAGTGGGGTCTGCGGGTCCTGCAGTTCCAGCTCCTGGCTCACCCCTTTCTCTAGAGGATACTTAAGTTGGGCACCCCAACTTTAAATGGAAAGTCCTTTTCTACCCCAGCTCAGCAAGTACTGGGAACCAATTCCTCCCACCCCACTGCCTGCTGGGGCAGCAGCAGCTGCCATGTGCAGGGTTGGCTCAGGACACTGCTGCGGCTTAGCTGCAGACGTGTCCTTTTGCTTTTGTCAGCTCCAGTTACAAATTCAGGAGCTGATTTGGGGGAAAAGAACAAACAAACAAACAAACGTTTGCAGGCTGGCACTGCTCTGTGGCTGTCACACAGCTCCTTGCTTCACGCCTTAAAAAATAGAATGAATTAGCAGGGTCTTAAATTACTTGCTCCTCATGCACCCTCGCCATCCCGGCGCTGGCAGGGATGGGACAGAGCACCCTGTCCCCAGGTGTGTAGGGATCTTGGGTTCCGCCTTCTGCACCTGCTGTGACCCTGCTGAGCTATTCCTGGCTCCACAGCCAGCTCTGCTCTGACCTTGGGCATGGCTCAGATGCTGCAGCACGGCGGGCGACGCGCGCCCAGCTCCGCAGACTGTGCTAACGCCCGGGGACAGGCGACAGGCTCCAGCGCACGCTCAAAATAGCAGCTCCTCCAAAGCTGCCACATGGAGGGGGGGTCTCTGGGAAGATAAGCATCTCTGCTCTGCCTGCGACGTGCAGTTTGGCAGGGTTTGGGAATGGGCTGTACAGCACTGGCAAAAGTCCGGGCTCCCAGGCAGCTCCCTGTCCCCTCTGCCTGCAAGTGCTGCTGGGCACAGGTTGGTGGGGTTCCCCTGGTGCTGTTGGAGGGCTCTGTTCCTGCTGCCATGGTGCTGGCCCGGGGTTGGGCTGGGTGTGCTGAGTATCCCTTCTCACCAGGCGCCAAGCACAAGTCAATGCTGGAAGGTCACGGCACCCAACTGCGGCGAGGCCGGGGCAAGCTGCTCTCCCGGGCAGGGCACAAGTCCAAGCGGATTGGGAACAAGGGCAGCATCAACATCCAGAACAAAGCGTTTCACTGCCAAGTGTGTGAGATCTACGTGAACTCCGAGACCCAGCTCAAGCAGGTGACAATGCCCTGGGAGTGCCCGGGCACTGGGTGTGGGTGTGCAGGGACTCAGGGTGTGGGTACCTGATGGTCCCTGCAGGGTGATGGGCATCCCCACAGACCTGAGCTGCACAGTACCCTGGCTGTCCTGGCTTCCAGTGATCCAGCTGTTTTCTTCCCCAGCACATGAGCAGCCGGAGGCACAAAGACAGGCTGGCAGGGAAGCCACCCAAGCCCAAGTACAGCCCCTACAACAAGCTGCAGAAGAATGCTGCCCTCGCAGTGAGTATTCTCAAGGTACCTGTCTCTCTGCACAACACTTGCTCGGTTTGCTTGCAAAGGCTCGCTCGCCATCAGCCATCCTTTCAGTGAGTTATGGGAGCTGATTTTCTTAAACGTTGGTTTCCATCACCACAGCTCAGCTTCTCCCCTCAGGGAGGGTGAGCTGTGGTGTTGGGTTTTGAGTCTATTCCTGTGAAGGCCAGCATGGGGATAACTTGGGAGTGCTTCGGCAGCAGCATTCACAATGGCAGGACTTGTGATTCCTCCACCTGTTCTGCAATCTCAATGTCTCCTCCTCTCTCCCTGCAGTCCAAGCTGGCTTTGCAGAAGCACCTCACCAAAACCCTGGCGACCCGTTTCCTGCCGAGCCCGCTCACCGCCGCTGCTGTCTGCGCCATGCCTGGACCCCTCGCCTTGCGACCAGCAGCTGCCACCACCCTCTTCCAAGCCCCAATCCTCGGACCAGCCCTTTTCCGAACGCCGCCGGCCCATGTCCGCCCCACGCCGGGTCCCATTGTCTTCGCACCCTACTAGAGCCGCTGGCCCTCCGAGGGTCTGTCCACTGTGGCTGGGCTGGGCTGCAGGGGCTGCGCGCTGGGGACAGCGCTCTTGGTACCTGCTCTCCTTCCTGGTGGGAAAATGTAGTCGTAGACATCAACCCCAGCTTCTCCTTTGCTTGGAGAGTGCTCCCACTGGAGAGAGGTGCCCCGACAGAGCCCAGCCAGCCCCGCCGCGCATCCCCACTGCTCCCCCAGCCTGTGCTGGCCCCATGCTCAGCAGATGAGCCCAGGCAGTGCACAGAAGAGGACAGTGTCCAAATCAGCAGGACCATCTCATGGCCAGAGTCTGCCTGTCCTTGGCCTGCTGGCTGCTTCTTCATTGCCCTCCCAGTTACCAGACTCTTAGGAGAGGAGCTGGCTCGTCCCTGGGAGAAGGAGCATCCTTCTGGTCTCTGCCAGCCCAGCGGGAAGGGAACTGCGAGGGGAATCTCAGCCCAACTCTTACGGGGAGAAACAACCCCAGCACAAGTGGGAAGCTGGCAGTTTCTCTCTCAGCCTGGGCTGGCTGTGCCCTTGCCAGCCCTGCATCTGCCTGTGCTGACAGGGGGTTTCTGTGCCACCCACCAGCCCCCTGTCCCCACAACTCCCTACATCCCACCAGCCAAAGAGCACCTGTGGTGGCAGGCACCGGCCACACCAACCGTATCCTCACTCCAAGAGCAATAGCTGACCCCAGGGCCGGTGCCTCCTCCCTCCAAAGCACACGGGCCCTGCCCTGGCCCCAGAAGCACACGATGGGCATGTGGCCAAGCAGGGCTCCACTCATGCTCAGCAAGGCCGGGAGCACCAGGCTGTCTGGTGCTGGCTCCCCGAGGAGGTGACCCTGTGCTTGGCACCTGTCTTTGTCTCTGTCTCACTGCGGGGACAGCCCTGCCCCTACCTCCCGGGAGATGCTGTGAGGCTGAGTGAATGTCCCTAAAGCACTTTCAGTTCTCCAGTGAAAGGCAACGCTGCTGCTCACCTGCCGTGCCCGGCCCTCCAACCCCATCCCAGTTCGGAGCTTCCAGGAAGTTATTGATGATTCCCGAAAACAAAGGTGTCTTCAGCAGCCTGGACAATCAGGTGGCAGTTGCACCCATAGACTGTGGAATGCTGGGCTCTGGAGGGATCCTGAGGCCATAGCTCTGCGTTTCACTGTGCTCAGACAGCCCAACCATGACCTGTCTGGGACTGTCACCGCGGCACTCTGGGTGCCCAGCACGCTGCTGTACATAGAGAGAGTTGCATCCCAAATGGACCTTTTGCTGGAGGAACACCCCACCCCGATCTATGCAATCCAGGGGGGCAGCTCACCCGCCGCATTGGCCGCCTGCGATTCCCTTTGGTGCTGATGCATCCATGCAGCCGGAGCAGTGGTGGGAGCTGAAGAACCAACATGACACTGAGCTCTGTTGCATCCCCAGCTCAGGGTGCTGGTTCAAACCTCTGCTGTGATTCCCATTCCCTCCCAGCCCTCGGGAAGAGGAGGTTGGTGCGTGCACCTGGGAATCCACACGCACAAGCACACATATCTGACGTCTTGGCCATAAGCAGCACCCGGATTTTAGAAGGATTCTGCCCAGTGTGCTCTGCCCATGCTCAGGATGGGTCCCAGCATGGGGAAGTGAATACGAAACAGCCAATGGGTGACTCAGATGGCTGAAATATATCTGCTTCCCAGGGCTGGAGCCTTGGCAAGGGCAGGAAAGCTGCAGGAGGGAGCACACACCTGCAGGGTCTGTGGGCAGCACCAACCGTGGAGCCACCACTGTGCTGCTACCACAGAGACAGGAGAGTGAAGGAGACCCTGGGTATGAATTCACCTGCTCAGGAGATCACTTCCCTAGGGAAGGAGGAGAATGGAGAGACAGCACCAGGAGAAGACTGAGCAGCTGTGCATGGATACAATGGAAAGGTCTTGCAGCAGTGGTGGGATACGTGGTTTGGTGCACAGCTGAGGGAAGGAAGGCTCCCCACAGAAACGGCTTTGCCAGGGATAGGGAGATGGTCCCACAGCCCAGGGGACATGTAGGGACCCCACATCCCAGGGGGTAGGAGCCTGTGCTGGTGGGGCCCCAGGGGACAGGAGGGACAATGTCCCCACTCCCCAGTGCCAAGCAGCCTGTGGTCAGCAAATCTCCAGCCACCCTTGCCCGTCTCACTGTGCCCTTCCCAGGCCCTTGGGGTCACCCCTAGTCCGGCCACTGCAGCAGGACAATGGGTCCCCTCCTGTGCCATGAGCCCCTGGTGCCCTGCCCAGCTCCTCAGCAGCACAGGGAGCCAGGAGCTTGCAGAGCCACGTGGCACCAGTGGGCCTATTCCCCTCCATTGTTCCAAAAAGCCTGTGCTGGAGCCATGGCTGCTCCTTGCCCCTCACCAGTGGAGTGAGTCCTGCTGCACTCCTGTTCTTGGCACTTTAACCCTGTGAAAGCCATTCCTTCTAGTAACAATAATACTGCAACGAGCTGCATAAGAAACCCCCGTTATGGTATCGCCCCAAATCCCCTCCTGCTCTCCAAAGCATTTACTGCCTTTGACTTAGCACATGCTGTACTAGGAGTAGGGATAGTCCATAGCGCTCGGTAACGTGTGCCCCTCTGTAAATAACCTTGGAGTGATGTGAAGTTTGATTTAAAAAACCAGAAAAAAAACCCCCCAAAATGGAATATCCAGACTCTAGGGACTTGGCCAGTACCCTCCTGTAATGTTCATTGTATATTTTTTTGATGTACTATAACTGTTGGGAAAAAAAAAGGAAAATATTTTGATAACCGAATCTCATCGCTTTATTGTGTTACTCAGTAAATAAAAGGAACAAGTATAAACACATTGGAGCTTTCATCGGTTCTTTTCCTACATCCAGACCACCTGAAGGGAACAAGTGTTGCTGGGTAGGACTGGGACACCTGTGCCTTGTTTTGTGGTGGTTCTAAAAGGAAGCAGCATTGTGACAGGTAGCCAGTGAGAGCTACCACAGCCCAAAACATCTGGAGTGTGCAGGGTAAGTGCAGTCCCAGCTCCTCCAAGGATCTAGGTATGCAGGTGAAGCACAACCTTATCTCCTCCAAGCTCATGGCTGAGTCTGCACTCAGGAAGAGGAAGGCTAGAATGGTGGATTTGGGCACACTGCCCTCAGGAACAGCACCTGTCCTGCTCTAGGCGTTCCCTGGGGCAGCATACCTGAATATTCCAGTGCAAAAAGGAGCAGTGGACACTCCCAGGGTAAGGGAAAACCTGCCAGGGAGCAGCACAGAGCCAGCTGGGGCAGGGCAAAGAGAGATGCTTGGCTGGAGGCAGTGTCAGCAAACAGGCTCTGCCCACATGTTATCAGGCAATAGAACAAGAGGGAGTTGTTTCCCCCAGATGTAGATCTGATCCCCACGCTCCAGCCAGCCTGTGCTGTGCCTCTGTTCCACTCTCCCAGCCTGCACCTCAGAACAGAGGGGACCACTGAGTGAATCCTGACCTTCCTGTAGCACCTCTGACAGCTGCAGGGGCTGGGCAGGGAGAGGAGTGGCTCCTGTCCCACTGCCTCTCTCATTCGTGAGGACCATCCCTAGCCCGGGGATGACTGTTCCTCCTGCCACCTGCTTCCCACAGGCTCCGTGACACCAGCCAGGACTCAAGAGGAAGTGTGTGAGAGGGAAGCAGGAAGGTGAGGAAGAGGAGGTAGTAATGGAAGGGGAAGCAGGCTCAGCCATCCATGGATCCGCTGCCCTTGTTCTTGCGGCTCAGGGGAAACGCAGACTTGCTCTGTGGCTGTGTCATCTTGCTGGCCAGGTAGATGAAGGGCTCGATCAGCGTGCGCCGGTCGGCCACGGACACCTCCCACAGCTTCACCTTCTCGCCCTTGGCCCAGTGCTGGGCTGCATCGTGGTCCACCCGGCGCTGCTCCTGCAGATCACACTTGTTGCCCAAAACCACAATGGTGACCTGTTCCAAGAGGGTGAGAAGGGCCCCTGATGACCAACCACAGAACTGCAGGGCTGGCTGGCTCTGCCACGGAGACCCTCAGTGATGGGCCCGGCCCTGGCACTGATTCCCCGTCCATGTCAAGGCTATTCGAAAACAAATTATCTCAGTGCTCCCTTCCCCTCCTATTTGGTACTGTGTGTCTCAAACCAGCCCTAAAGGAAGGAGCTTTTGAGCACCTGTATGCTCAGAGAGCATCCCAGGAGACATCCTGTTGCTGCTGGGAGATCAGGGACCCATCAGTATCTTGTGACAGGCTGGAGAAAACAAAGGTGAGAACCTGCCCCAGGGGAGCAGATCCCACTCTGCAGCCCCTTCTTCCTGGGGGACTCACCTCCTTCTTGTCCTTGGACTTGTCGATCTCCTTCTTGAGCAGCTCGACACGCTTGAAGGACTCCTTGCTGTCGGTGCTGTAGACCAGCACGTAGCCGTCGGTGCAGGAGAAGCAGTGCTTGGGCAGCTCCAGCCCGTCCCGCAGCCCCCGCGTGTCGTAGAAGCGCACCTGCTCCCGCACGCCGCGGTCCGTCTCGATGGAGCCCACGTAAATGTCCTCCTGGGTCTCGATCATCTCCGAGCCTGACGGGATGGGCAGGGGACACGTGGGAACCCTGCCGGGGGCGCTGTGCCCTCTCCACCCACCGCCGCCGTGTTTGGGGTGACCGAACAGGGACAGCCGTGCCCAGGGGGATCCCCAGTGCCAGCACTGCCCAGGGCCGGAACTGCCCGCTACACCCGGGGCAGCCTCTGCCCAGCACCGCACTCACCGACCACATGGTTCCCGTAGAGCAGCTGCTCCAGGATGGAGGTTTTGCCGACCGAGGCCTGCCCGCACACCACCACCTTGCAGCTCTTGCCCATGTCGCCTCACCGGGGCGGCGGCGACCGAGCCTCACCGGCAGCGGCGGGAGGCACGCGGCGGCACCACAGCGCCCCCGTGTGGGCGGGCGGACCGTGCGCCCCGGCACTGCCCTGCGCTGGAAGGGGCGTGGTCTGCACAAGCCCCGCCCACAACCGGGTCAAGTT